AAGACTCGTTCCATCACAGTCGTGACAACAACAACAACAACAACACTACCACCACCACCACCACCACCACCACCACCAACAACAACAACAACAACAACACCAAAACAACAACAACAACAACAGAAAGCGTCACAATCAGGAACGGTAACGATTAAAGAATGAGTCACTTGCACCATATTATTACCGAATCCGGTTTTCTTCTCGCAGCGGTTACTTCCCCTGTACAGAAATTACTGCCGCCTCGAGTAAAGGTCGGCCGTAATTGAGTCGAGCATATTTATATTTCCGAATTTAATACTTGCTATGACTTTAGGTTTCCTGCATATGATTATTGTAATTATCATGCTTAATCTAAAAAAAAACAACCAAACAAACACAATAGATAAATTAATGGATGATCGATGGATGATGGATGGATGGGCTGGTGGGGATGGATTGGTGGGTTGGTTTATGACTGGGTGCGTATGCGTAAGGTATCTAGCTAGTTTATTGAAGGAACATGAATCTACTAATGTGTCCGGAAAGGCCAGAAAGAATGCATCGAAAAGATCTTTCTCAACAAGTGAGGCCGGATAATCGGCAAGCGTGAATCAAAACAACGGCGGTGAGGGCCATGTGACTTTAAGTCAGCGGCCAAAATCAATTTTGCCACTGAGGCCCCAATATCTTTTTTTTTAAAGAGTGTAGAAAACACGAAATTATGAAGCTGGTTGGAACATATCTTTCCCTTTGCAACATCATTAAAATGTTCGCGTTCCTTTCATTTACTTTGTGTACTTGTGTGTTTGTACCATTGTTTTGTTTTTGTTTATATGCACTTATCCCGTCGCTCTGATTTCTAGCGGTGTTATTACATAGTGGCAAATACTACAAGCTGGATTCTATACTAATATCTTATAAAAACGTTTGTTCAGATTTTATGAAAATATTTTCAGATTATAATGGTTCAACATTTGAAATAGTTAATCAGTTGTGTAAACACTGTAAACTTTGTTGGAGAAACGCTGCATAGTTTTAAGATTTTGAAGTAGTTAAGAAAAGTAGTAAAGAATGTAAAAATACAATTATAATAATATCTACCGAACACGAAAAAAACCTGGGTCCAAAACATAAAAAAGTGTGAAAATTAAGGCAAATCTACAAAGACAACAACATGAAAATTTATAACTTCGTTCATTTATCAAGACATGAAAACAAACTGTTTTCTAGTGTTATTATGTAGACATGCAAGTATGTTTGTTTAACTGAAATACAAATATTTCAATATTATTACCAACTTTGGTCCAATATTATAATGTAATTTATCATGTGATTGTTTTCTTTATATATATTTAACGCTACAAATTATGCATAATATGAATGATTATATTATATACGACCCTGGCTTTGAACAGGATCATAAGTTCAATTTTCAAGATTTGTTTTATTATAAAAAAACATCACCAGGCTTCAGCTATTAAAACAGACATATTTTTACGTATTTCGTATGTAAACGTTGTGTAAGAAATATATACACACGAAGATGTTTTTGCTTGTTTTGAGAGATTATGATATACATCACATTTCAAAAGTGATAGAAACTATTTTCACGAGCGCGCATGTGAAAATGTGAATATGTTCACACTTTTATTTTCAAGAAATATTTGACGCTTAACCATCGACCAATAAGTACAGTACAGTACTTACGAAAACAAACTTAAAGCAACCGATAGCATGATAGTGGAAATCGATTGGTCACATGTAGAATCACTATCAAATGTCGATCAAACTCGACGAAATCCTAAGTTGTAATGCCCATCTTTCTTCCATTGGTGTTAAGTATAACTTGATTAGTTGTTTATTGGTTGCCCATTGGTGATAATGGGTTGTAAACAGGTTGGCAATCTGTTGTTTGTAAAAAAAAAATCACCGATCGAGAATTTTAAACATTAAAAAATCTCGGTAATCTTTTCATAGATAAAACGTTTGCTGAGGCAGAAAGCAGGACTTGGTACAAAATAGGTGATTTCGGTGTTAAAAGCGTTGTCATTGGTTCACTCCACAATCTTCGGGCCACTAACTTTATTTTTGCCCAAAAAATCATTTTCATTCTTCATTAGTAAGTTAAGAAGCAGATCAGCTGAAGGTTGAACATATTGTAAAATGGCCTTTATAATACTCAAATCCAAAAATAGAAGAAAACTACCCTTTTTACAAAGTTTCTTATTATTTCCATTGCATCTCCCATTTACAAAATGTGAAAATAACACCAACCATAGGGTCCTTTTATAATCAATTATTAATAATGTTTGGTCTGGATTACAAAAAGTAATTATGTTGATAGTGTTAAGTATCAGATATTTCAACAAACCACAATAGAATCATATATGGATGTTGCTGGCAGAACAAAATATTATTATTCATCATTTAAATATTTAATACAACACTCCTATGAACATGAAGATATCGGCTATCAATAGCTGAGATTAGATAATACAAAATAGATAAGCAAAATAATTAATGTAATTGCATTCATATATTCATGAAATTGAAGAACATATTCCCAAGGGACCAGTCATAGTGGAAAAATTCGATGGGATAAATAAATTGTTTCTACTAGTAATGAATTTGACTGTAAAAATCAGTGTTGATTGTCTCATTCTCTTGAAAAATTACTGCATTAAATGAGATGAGTTAGCGAAAACTCTGGATTTGCAAAGTAAATCAGGAAGGTGTATTGCTTATTTGAAACAAGCTCCGTTGTTATCATTAACACCCAAACTTCACTAGTGAATATATCTTATTGATATAGTGTGCTTAAGAATGATAATTATGTTCTAATATTATTTTAATTATTTATTATTATCATTATTTTTGTAAATTTTGTCAGGATCATAGTTCATAATGTTTAAGAGATATAAATTTGATACTTCATTGTAGGATGGATCACAGATATAGGGAATTCAATGCACAAGAATAACAACAAATTGTCCACTTATTAAGAGGACCAGGATCAAAATTTATATAAACATGGGAATTTTATTTTCAGTTTCATTTTTTTTGGATTTCTTAAGAATTGCAGTATTGAGTCAAACAACTTTTGCACAGATTTTCTTTAACCTGTTTTCCAGTCATAATCCGTATTAACAGCATATTCAGTAGTATGTAATAATTTGAAATTTTCCCCAATTTTTACTTTTCCCCCAAAAATTATATCTACAATTAAAGTTGTTCCTATATTACTGTTCATAGAAATATGCAATCATATCATTTTAGACTTATTTATTAAGTTATCATTTAGTCAAAAAAATAATATTTCAGGGCAGGACCTAAGATATTTGTTTCATTAACTATTTCCAACTTTCTTTTGTATGTAAATTATTATACATTTATAATTGCTAAAATATAATATTATATAATGATGTTAATTTACATATCATATACAATATATACAAGAATAAAACTTGCTAATGCTCGCGGCCTGTCATACAAAATAAATGTAAATGTGTCTGCTATTTAAGCTTCACTAACACGACGTATAATTAATTTTTATTAAACTTTTTACTGTACTGAAAAAAAATCAGTTTTAAAATTTTGAGTTTGGTTAAATAATATTCCATACTGCCTGATTTTGAAATTGAGAATAACTTTTTCAATGTCGTGATTTCTTCTGTTTAGATAAATCGTTTGTACAAATTGCTCTTGTGGATATACAGAAAATATAGTTTGTATAAGATTAGACGAGTCATTGTTAAGGACAATTTTGCTTATGTTAAAAAATGTATACGAAAATTCATAAGTTACTGTAAAACATTGTTGATCTCCAATATTTGTATGTAAGATAAGCTAGATGTATAATGCAAGCTTTATAGCGAACCACTGCAAGAACGGTTTTTATTGCCTTGCCCATAAGTTTTTTGTTAACGGTGTATCAAATTACTACAATTTGTGATATAAAGATACTTATTGCACTCTGATTCGAAATACCAGTGGTGTTGTAAATAATATTTCATAGAAAACAAACAAGACATGATTGAGTTTAATTGCAAAGTTTCATGGAATCCTAAAAATAAACATTGTCATTCAGATCCAGGTAGTCTTGATGTCTTGCAACTTATGATGTCCCAGTGTCGCATTACGTGTGCATGCTTGCAAGTATTGATCTTGTTTTTCATGTTTTATAAATATATCGAATGTCATTCATAACAAAACACCATGCCGATTAACCATAGCCGAAAATGCTCAAAGTATGAAAGTTGCAAATATATCAAAAACAGTAAACATACTTTCTCTGTCATCACTATTTTGAGCAATTTAATAAAACGGCCGTGAAATGATGACAAGTGTCAATCGAAATTACCAGCATACTCTTTTTAACTTTGTAGCACATCTGATTCAATTCTATTAATATTGATCATGGATTATTAAGGGGAAGTAAATGTTAAAATACTGGTTATGTAAAGTTACCTAAGTTATTCCCCTTCATTTGTCACAATTAAAACTGCAAGTTTGCTTTTTTGTGTATTCTATTGATGCATTACCGAATTTCTCAAACATAAAAGAAAATGTATTGTAGCTTAAATTGATAATGTTTGGTAAAGATAGGCCAATTCTTGTGTATTATATACATGTATTCATATGCTTTTTAAGTAATTTCTTATCTCATTAAACATTCTCACATTACATAAACCATTATTTTGTAATTATATATATTCATGTCATGTGTCATTTATGTATTATATGTTGTATTTGTATATGTAATATGGTGATGAGCTTTTTATGCTTAAACCAAGAAATAAAGTTTCTGTTCTGTTCTGTTCTAATGAAACCAAGTTTTTGTTATTAGAGTTTAGAAAAATCTTTCGGTAGAGATTTTTCTAGGATTGATTTTGATGACCATTTAAAAGCCATTGGCAGTTTTTGTCTGTCCAAATGATAAGACACTGTTAACTGGAAGGATAACAATTAAACCAAAACAAAGCTCTAAATAATAAAGAATTTATTTAATAAATAATTGTATTCTAAGCTTTTTTATCTTTTGAAGAAAGCAAAATATCCAAAAGCAGACATCAATGAGATTCCGGACACAGCAAGTGTTAGAATTTTCTTTCCAAATGTGAACTGACCAGCGTTGTTACTGAGATTCTTTGTAATGTCGTCATCCATTTGCCCTATGGAATCTTTCTCGGGAATGATTTCATTTCCTGAAATATATGTGACATTGTTTACATATCAATATTGAATGTAATATAAATGATGTTCAGTATAATAAACAAAAAATGAATTCAATTAAAAGGTTTAGTAACATGCATTTTGCTTAAAAACGTACGTAGAGGAATTCAACAGAAAATCAATATCATATCAGGCATATGTTCTGTTTTCACAATTATTTATGGAATTTAGCTCCTTCCTCTAGGAAGCTTATTTTTAAAAAGTAACGAAATAAAGAATAGAAAACTTTGGCTTTATGACCAAGACATTAAAATAGTACCTGAAATATCATTGTTCTCTGTTGCGCATGGAGCGTTGCTGCTGTCCTTTGTAGCACATGCAACGTCGTCCTTGTCCTTTGTGGCACCTGCAACGTCGTCCTTGTCTTTTGTGGCACATTGTAGCTTGTTGTTTTCATTGCGTTTGAAATATGATCATTGATCTTTGCAACACTTGGGACAGTAGCACGTAGTGCGTTGTTATTTTCTGTTAATACTGGAGGGTTGTTGTCGTTGTCTTGGCCACTATGAACGGAATTTGTTATCTTAACAGCAAGGTTATCAGTGCTAATGTAATCTGAGGCTCCTGGGGATTTGTTGGCCTTCTCTGCAACACAAGGAGTGTGAGTGTTGCTTTTTGTTGCATGTGGTGGAATATCCGGGATGACATCTTCTCCAGTTTTGATAATATCTGAAAATTTTAAAATATTTCATAGTTATCGATTTAAAAGTCAAACTCATAGAAATTACTTAGAAAATTAAAAATATCAACACATGCGATTTAAAAATTTAATTCGACATTATTTTAGTGCTTGATAGAGGAGATTGAAATTCCTTTAAGAAATTAACGCATTCTGTCGTCTCTATCATTTCTATACACTTCTCTTTCCAAATAAAAATTCTTTATATCTCTACACATGAATCTTGTTTGAGTGAACTAAATATACACCAAATAAATGACGGATGTAAACTGTCCAACAACTTGTCAAATAATTCAAAATCATATTTGTTTCGCTAATTCTTAGTGCATGTCTTTACAGTGCAAAGAACTTTATGTGGTTAGATCTTCACTCGGTGCTTTTGAAAAATCTAGATCGTCCTATATCAACTATACATATAATATAAAAAAATCAATATGAAATCCTTAATAACTCACTCTTCTTTGACTGGGATGCCTCTGTAGTTGTTAATATACGAAGAAGAAGAGAAAAAAAAACACAAAAAAAACCCACATACACACAACATACCGTCTACTTTGACTGTGGCAGGTACCATTCTTTTACAATGTATCAGCCCAATGTTTCTCGGCGGCACGTATTTTGGAGGGTTTTTGATTTTTGGCACAACAAAGCCTACTTTATCTGCACGTGGAATATTGAGACTTGGCACGTGAAATGTTTCCTTCCTACCTAGAGATGGCGCTGGACGGTTGTGTTCAGGGTATACTAAAATAATTTAACATGAACATGTACTCATTAGCATAAAAGTTATTTGATAGTATGAAATTAAGATAAATTATGATAATGTCATAATAAAGATTATTTAGAAATTTTATGAACAAATGGTCAGAATGTTGTTGTTTTTCGCTTAAGTGAAATACATATATGGAATATATTTTTACCCAACAAGATATAATTCCATTCACATCCACGAGCCGGAACAGGAAGTGAAATACAACATATATAATTTAGTTTCATCATGATAAGTGAAAATATATTCCATATTTCACGAAATACGAAAAAAATAACCTTTAAATTTAATTTTTCTTGCAAAGAAAAAAAAGAGTTATTTACAAAAAAAATCACATTTACTACACAGTTGAAATTGTATATATCCAAATATTTTCTTAAAATGAAATGAATTTTAGCTGAAGCTACTAACTCTCACAGAAAAATATTAAACAGATCATCATCAGAATGGACACAACTTTTGATATCAAAGAAGGGTCAGAAATGTTTAATATAATACATGTATTTAAAATGATAAATAATTTTAAAAAGTATGTTTAATTCGTTAATTGAAAGAGAGGTAAAACTGTACCTTCTCTTCCAGCAAATGCTGTTTTGTTGTATGTATGTTCCACCATTATTGGATGCTGACCAATATATATCGTATGAGGAGTTGTCGATTCAGTATCAACCACCTTTCCTGTACATGATCTTACTACTAAAAACTTGTAATTCACGAAACTGTCTTTGGGAAGCCTTAAATATAAAACATGACAATTGTTTTGAAAGCTTAATTGACAGGTTATTATCTGGAGCTGATGCGTTGTTTAAGCAACCCAGGGAGCCACAGTTCTAAGACCTGATCGCTAGTTTTATTACAATGAGGTATAATTGAACAATCTTTCAATAACTTTGATATTTAGAAATTTTTAGAAACCGTTTGGTATCTACACAAATTTCGAATGACTACCCTGATGTGTTGTACATGTAAAGGAAAAATGATATTATTTTGAATGAAACAAAGAGCTGTTCTGCGATTTGTGACGGTTAGAAAATAAGTAATATTTTTGGCGTTCAGACATATTTGTTATAAAACCTACCACAAGTCTTTCTCCCAAACGTTACGCCCAATAGGTTTGCATCTTGGAGCAATTTCGGGGTTATCATTGCCAAGTTGAATGCCCGGACCGACCACGGCTACAAAGTAGTCATTTGCCCCACCCGGATAACATTCTAGAGACTTGAACACCCGCAGTTGTACTTTCACTTTATCATTTCTTGTTGATGTCATCTGTGAATAATTAACATACAAAGTCAATATGTGCTGACTACCATAATATTATATTGTTGTCATTTACTATAAACTTTCCTAAATCATTGTAATAAATAGTTGTAGGTATGAAAGGTATAAGGTAACTTTTACAAAGCAAATAAACTTATTAATTTAAGCAATCCGGCTGACTGGACTAGATAGTCCGTGGACTGGATTGGAACTGACTGATATTACACGCCCGTTAGAAAATTTGGAAATGTTCACTTCAGGTAATGTCGTTCAAATCAAACAAATATCAATACATAAAATGCACTGAGTCCAATTTCTCAGGTTATATTATAGTATTTACCCGTATTTTGGTTTTTTACATGTATAGTTCATTTCAATTAATATGGAACGTCAATGGTTAACATAATCAGATATGTTTTTTTTGTTATTTCAGCCAACAGCTGCAAATAATGTATTTTTTTGTAATTTAAAACATTGTTTACAAAATGTACACATATATATTTACAAAATATTACATTATACTTACCTTTAAGCATGAAAGTCTCCTAAAACATTTAAATATGTTGACTGAAAGAAAAATTGTCTGTATAGCTTACGCTTTGTTATCTTGGAATTGACGTAAATCATATGGAAACGACGTAACGTTAATGACGCAGCGACGTAAATGTTTATGACGTCACCAATATACATCGGATCTTTCTCGAGTCGCCATTTTACATAGACCCGCTGGAATTTTAAACGAGTCGAGGGACATGATATAGGATAGCCTGTAACGAGATTTATAACATTTCTAAAAGTTAAATTTATTATGTAAATTAAATTTATTTGAAATGATAACGATTTTTATCACATAATATAAAACCAGAAAACTGCTGAAAACTGCAAAATCTCCGTTAAACGAACAGTTTTATTAATATCATAAGAAGTATGTGTAATATGAAGAATTCTTATTGGTTATACTTTAACATTGAACGATATCATGTGATTATCTTTTTCCTTTCGAAAAATAAAATGAGACAATTTCTGGATTAGCACACACAATATGGAAATTTTCATTTACAGTTACAGCACACAATACAAGTCGAAAGAGTGGCATTTCGCAACAGATGACTAAACTTGGAACAAATGAATTACAATGTTACAGACGGGTGAAATCGTAAATAAATGTTTTCTGATGCTTTTGCATAGCCTAGGGTGACCAATAAGGAAGCGGATAAGTTGTAATATATTAGGGCACTTGTCGTGTGGTTGCTTGGCGTCAAATATTGTTGTTCCGTCAACCCGTCATTTTGACAACTGAATTTAAAATGTTATTTTTTATTTTGATCATTATTGTATTTTGAATTAAATGTGCGTAAATTACGAACAAAAAATATATTGTAGTTTGAACTAAATAATCGCAATTAAGTGTTAATAGTTTGTTAAATTGTTTCTATAAACGTATATTATTACTACCCATTAACTGTTAGGTTGTGACAAATCAGCATCGCATCCCTTTCACAACATCAGTTTGACGAAACAACGAAACATTTAGCTGCCTTAGCGTCACAAGGACGGAAAATTGCTCCATACGCTGTCTGATGTGCTGGTACAGTGATCCAGCATTCCACCCCCGTGCAATTAATATATAGGTAACAATTATAGCGGTCAAGAAGTGAAGATGGAGATAGAGGGTCTTAGCTTATGGGTAAGAGCATCGGACAAATCCGTCGTGGGCTCGAATCCAGTTAACTTTGTGATTTTCTTTTGACTTCCACAACCTACACTAGCGCGATTACTTGTTAGGTAACCAACGACGCTATCAGCTAGCGTAAATTATTTAAAGCGCACGTCTAGGTCATAAATATGTATTAAACATTAAATAAATGTGAAAACAAACAATCAAACAAATGATCCTAGGTGTCTGCCTTGAATCCGAGAAGCAGTGGTTAAGCCCAACTCTGATCACCACTATAATTCCTCAAATGACACCAGTCCTGGAAAGCTCAAGGAAGCAGACTTAAGCGTTCTTTAAATCAACAAAAGCACTTATTGCCGCAATGATAAATTAATTAGAGGTTAATACTTGGTTGCTGCTCGCCATTATGCGATATTTGTCCGTAGATGTGCATAATGGCCTGAGTGTCGCAGGCCCGAAGGACATTATGAACTCGAGGGCCATTATCGCATAATGGCGATCAACAGCAGCAACAACAACAACAACAACATTTTATTTTGTAAATAAAGGCCTCCGGCCCAAAATACACAATATAATCAAAACAGATATACATATTTAGCTGTGTCTACAATATACATTGTTATATATGACATGATTTCCTATTGATATTAATTATCAACAATTTTCATAATTTCATGAACAAAAAGCAATATTCTTATTTTTTTCTTCATTTTTGGTATTAATCAAATTACAAAAATTATGGAATGTATAATCATGACTGTACCATGGAGATATATAACGTTGTCTTTATTGGGAAAATCTGTTACAAATAAAAAATACATGAAATTCATATTCGATGAACGAATTGTTATAATTTTGTAAACAGTGTTGGCAAATTCGCTCATATCTTGGTATACCCAAATGTCGTCCAGTTTCTATATATAATTTATGACTAGAACATCTAAATCTCGATAATGATCTTTTTATATAAAATGGCATATCAATAGATAAATACTTTTCAGGATTTAACATAGATTTGAAAAATTTATAGGTGTCAATTCAGGGTGAATTCTGAATTTCTCCATCCAATTTTGTGTTTTACAATCAATAATCCTTTGTTTAAATTGATAAATAAAAAGATTGATATCCCCAATTTCTTGACTAAGCCATACAAAGCCAAACCCATAAGTATACACTAAGTTTTTTACTGAAGTAGCCCAATTTTTCTTTCCAACATTATCCTGTCTAGTTAACATCAAATAACAATTTCTAGGATATCTATGTTCTGGCATACAAAGAAGTTTACACCAATATTTGATAAATTTTACATGATGATCAATACATAAAGGCATCCTTCCACATTCACCCAGTGCAACATTGTCATTAACAGACTAATTTACACCTAGAAAATCTTTACAATATTGTATTTGAACTAGTTCAAGAATTTCGGAGGATTTCGGCACCATAGGTAAGTATAGGTTTTAACATAGAGTCAAATAATTTAAAATAATCAGAGTGTGAAAACTTGATATGATTTAATAGCTTAAATAGATTTCCTAGCTTGTGCAGCAAGTTTAGTTTTTGCTTTTGGCCAAGATAATTTAGGTGTAAATAAAAGACCGATACATTTGTACATTGAGGTGACATTTACTGAACTGCTGTTGTATAACAATTTTTCATATGATCTGAGCGGTCCCCCATTTCTAAATACAATTATTTCAGTTTTATTCTCATTTATAGACATACCGGTATTATTACAAAATTCTGAAATTTAACTTAATTGAGACTGAAGTTCGATCGCAGTATCGGCACAATTTGCAACATCATCAGCGAAAAGAATGCATATAATATCGGGAATTTGATCCGTAATGAATATACCGCGATGCCCCTTATTACGCAGAAAGGGAGAAAACTTATTTATATACAGATTAAACATAATCGTACTTATTACGTCCCCTTGTCTTGTACCTATGTTACATTTAAAATATTCTGTAGTTTTGGTAGTACTAACTTGTACACATCCACGCAGTTTGAGTACATTGATAAAATAACACGAAATAAATCCCCCCTAACGCCACATCTGTTTATAGTATTGAATAAATTAAAATGTTTAAGTCCATCAAATGCTTTTTTTAAAATCTACATAAAGAACATAAAATCGTCCGCCCAGTTTACTAATATATTTCTGTACCAAACTTTGTAATATAAAAATATTATCAATTGTAGAGTAAGAATCCGGCTTGGGATTCATCTATTTTATCAAATTTCTCAGCCCAATTATATAACCTATCATATATAATATTAGAAAATATCTTATACATAACATTGATTAAGGAAATTCCTCTATAATTAGAAGGGTCATCCTGAGGCCCAGACTTGTACACGGGTACTTTTATACTATCATTCCAAATGTCTGGGATAACCCAGTACTAAATATCTTATTAAACAATTTACAAAGGACAGGTGCGATTAATGACGAAGTATTTTTTATAGAATTCTGCTCCGATGCCATCACTTCCCTGTGATTTTCCACATTTCAATTTATTTATACTTTTGATGACTTCATCAGAGGAAATTTCAGAATTTAAATAGAAATTTTCCTAATCAGTATTAACTCTAAAGTCCCAATTATTTTCATATATATTAGGTTGGTTACTTTTAAATAATAATTCATGAAAATAATCAAACCAAGCTCCGGTATCTATCAATGAAGATTGTTAATTTATATACTATTTCTAGATTTTAACAGTTTCCAAAAGGCTTTGGGATTTGATCGTCACGTAATTAGTTGATCGCGCTTAGACTTTTGGTAACGATACTTTTTTTATATTGCTCGTTTTTTTAAAACGTTTTCGGAGCGCTACAAATTGTTGAAAGTCTAATATATTATAAGACCAGCGAAAACGTCGTAGAGCTGCGTATTTAAGCAGCATAGTTGTTTCGCATTCTCGATCCCACCAGGGTTGATTATTATTTACACTATTTCGCGCTAAATATCTAACGCGCATATTTGCTGATGATTTTTTTTATAAATATTAATGATATGATTAACTGCATTGTTAATACTTAGATCTATTTCATGAAGAAAATTCTCTCGTATAGAATTATACTCCGTGGTAAATAATTGTAAGAAATCCGACATATACCTATCATTCCATCTATATTTGTCGACATATACTTCATTAAAGGTTTCATTTTCCTTATTATATCTAACAAATGGTTGTCCTCGCTCTAAAGTCAATCTTGCACAAATTGGTAAATGATCTGATTCGTGACGCTCTTCAACGTTGAAATAACTTATATGAGAAAAGATATCAGACGAGACAATGTGATAGTCAACAACACTTGCTCCATTGTCAGTTAAACAAGTAAAATTACCTGCAACATCATTGTACAAACGACCATTTAAAATATGGATACTATGAATACAACATAATTCTACAAGAGATCTCCCAAATAAATTATATCTCTCAATATCTTTGTTATTTCTAGAAATTTCGAAATAGTCTGATTCATAGTCAACTTCTGTATTAAAATATTACATCTAAATTATCATGTGGAATGTAATCTAATAAATTCTTCGTACGTGCATTGAAATCGCCACCTAAGTATAGATATACATTTGGATACATATTATTTAATATTTCAATATTACTTTAAATGGTTTTAATTCCATTTTTTAGGACTTTTTGTCATAAATATTTGACCCTTTAGGAGAAACATAAACAATGTATAAAAAATATCTTACATGGATCTGAACAAAACACTTTTAATATATAAAACTATACAATCGTTAAAGTCAGTGCAAATGTGAAATAAAATTGTTTGTTATCAGGTGCGATTTAATATACACGGAAACACCACCACTGTTACGTAAAGAGCCAGAAGATTTTAAACGCATGTTATTAAAACACGTATAACCATACAAAATGTTTGCAAATTCATTTGCAACATCATTCCAAGTTTCTACT